TGGATTCCAAAGAAATCCTGTCGGGTTCTCAGAAAGGAATGGGTCGGTGAAGAAGAATGCCTACAAGGATTATTTTAAGATTTTTGAAATTTTCATATTTCAAAAAATAGGTAAAAGATTCATATCTTACACCGCCGCCAGCTTCTTTTCTTTTCTCTCGTCTTTGGAAATATAAAGAACAGACAAAGATAATCTTACATTGACCCCTTGACAGCTAGAATTCCCAATACATTCCGGTTTTCGAACTCCATCCAACCATACATTCGATTTGTTCGTATCATTGGCTCGCTCTGAATATCTATGATCTTCTGATACCTTAAAACTACCAACTTTTTACAAATTCAAATTCTTCTGGAGTCTCTAGTCCAGTTAGTGTTCTTCCCGGAGTTTTTTGACACAATGTAAGCGCCATCGAATGGTTATAACATAATGAGCCTTTTACCAACTGCAAAACTTTGTTTCGAGGATTACTATAGTCAGTGAGCTCATTACAACTAGACACCAGGGTCCTTTTTCTCTCAAGAACATTTTGAATCTTTCATTTGGACACATTCTAATAGCTGAAGAATTGAAAATCCAAGATTCCGAAATCGTGTCATACGAGATACTGTAGCTTTGGTAGATTTGACGACCCGATGTTTCATTGGTTTCGAAGTAGTGTCCCTTTAAAGATTACTGTAGTTTTAGGAAAAAAAATAATTTCTACCGTACCTCTCCGCCTACAGTATCCCCTCTGGACATGTTGGGTTTTTTGAATCCGCAATTTTATAGCCAAATCGTTTTCCAATGTCATTGTTTCTTTTCACCGATGTTACCTCTCCAATTTCAAAAACTTGACATACCGTACTCCCGAATTCGTAGATCATCTACAGTAATCTGAAGGGTTACATTATCTACTGATATTACCCTACCATACACCTCTCATCCTCATTACAGTAGTCCAAACACTCCTCGAAAGTAAAATTGAGGTTACTGTAGATACCGTAATCCTGTGGCGAGCCATTTGAAGTTATCGTAAGAGGCGCATAAGAATTGAAAAGGGAAAATAGGAGTAAAATAAGGAGAAACATTTTTTCTGGTTTGGATTTTCGGAGAAATGAAAAAAGAGGGGGAAAAATATTCATGAAAACTATGGAAACAGAAAAATCGGAATCGGAAAAAAAGATGCCAAACTACATAAATTATTAATATTGAAATTTTGCTGTTTCAAACAACATTTTTTGGGATTACTGTCGTTCTACTGACACTTTTCCACACACGAACCCTCGGAACAATTGGGAATTCTGAATTTTTGGGCTAAATAATAGATTTTACAGTTTTGAAACTTGAAAATTCAAATTTGGCGCGTCCAGAGCTTCAAAATGAGCCCAAACACGACTAGGCTCCGCCCACTTTGGGACCCACTGCGAAAACTACAGTAACCCAAAATAAAAGGAACTAGGTCGTGTTTAGGCTTGTTTTGAAGCTCTTTTGACTTCAGATTCGAATTTCTGGTTTGTTTTCCAAAACATCCGGTGGATTTCCTATTTTTTTTCAAAATTTGAAATTTTCGAAAAAAAATTTTTTTTGAAAATGTTCAGAAATGTTTTTTTCGATTTTTTCCGATTTTTGAAAAGTCAAAAATCAAACTCCACTTTTTACAGTATCTTTTTTTCTTTGATTTTTCATGACAAAACACCCCAAAATTTCCAAATTTGCATAACAAAAAAAAAAGTTTTTTCGGACAATTTTTCTGAAACTTTTTTTTCAAAAATTTCGAAAAAAAATTCTATAAAACCTTCGATTTTTTGAAACTTTTCATTTTTTTTCTCTTAAAAAAATATGAAAATTCTCCATTCCCTTATTATTCTAGCCTCCATTTTTTCGCTGGTCCAAGCCAGCATTTTCGACGCGCTCAACGAGTTTTATGACGGCTGGGGGGAGGTTAGTTTTGATTTTGGAGTTTTGAAACTTAAAAATCTGAGTTCAGGGCGTTGAGAGCTTCAAAACGAGTTCGAACACGACTAGGCTCCGCCCACTTCGAAGGTCCCGTCGCGAAAAATACAGTAATACCGAAATAGAGGGACCTAGTTCGTGTTTAGGCTCATTTTGAAGCTCTCAACGTGTCAGACTTGGAAATTTGATTTTCAGAACAAACAACTGAAGTTTCAAAAAAAAATTGTCTCAAAACATTTTTTCGAAAATTTCAAAAAACAATTTTTTGGAAATTTTCCAGTTTTTGTCATTTCTCGCTTAAAAATCTTTCTAATCGTTTGAGACCTGAATTTTCAAATTCAGCGTTTTTTGAGCTTCACAACGAGCCCAAACACGACTAGGCTCCGCCCACTTTGGAGGTCCCGCCGCGGAAACTACAGTAACCCCAAAGTAGAAGGAACTAGGTCGTGTTTGAGCTCGTTTTGAAGCTCTAAACGAATCGAGAATAGTGAAAATGATGGAAAGGTGGATAATCAACTGAATTTCAAATTTTTCACAAATTCCAAAAAAATATTTTTTTTTTTTAATTTCGATTTTTCTGGAAATTTCAAATTTTAATAAACAATTGATTTCCAGGAGCAATGTGTGCAAATCAACAATCGTCGTAGCCCCCAAGCCACGCCCCTTACAGCTCTGGAAATTCCATTCGGTGGATTTTTCGACGGATTTCTGGACTGTGAGCATCGAGCCAGCAATACAGAGAACTTCGGAATCGATGGATCGCCAAATTTGATTTATCGAATTTTTGGTTATTATGGGATTTTGAAGAGGAAAATTGTTTATTTGGGACAGAAATAATTTTTTTCAATTTCTTGTCAATTTTTCTGTTTCCAATGAATTTGTGAGCATTTTTCTTAATTTTTCATAATTTTTAGTCAGTATTATCGAATTATGTGTGGAAAATGCCTGAAAATCGATCTGTTTTAGCTATAAATCGATCGAAAATCAATTTTAAACTAAAAACACATCTTGCTCGTCAGGCCTTGCGCACTGTACGCAATAGTCCGCAATGCACCATTGCCTACCGTAGCCAGGTGAAAAATCATTTTTTCAATGAATTTTCCGATTTAAAAATCGAACTTTAACAAGTTTTTCATGGATTTTTTTGTAAAAAAATAATGAAACAATTTTTAAAATCAATCTTACGCCTAGAAATTTCCAAAAATGCTTAAAAGTTCAATTTTTTCAGCAATTTCCAGGGATGACCGAAAAAACGCTAAATTCGGCGGAAATTCTCGAAAAATTGCTGTCCAAAAAGCTCGAAACTTCAGATTTCGAAAGAATTTTGAAGAATTTGGAGGAAAATAAAAGTAAAAATCCAAAAAAAAATTTTATTTAAAAAAATTCTTTCAGCCAAAAATCTATTTTCCGAAATTCTGAAATCATCGATCCATCAACTGCGTCGATACCAATCACAAATCGATTCACTTTCCGATGATCTATCGCATGCTAAAAAAATCAACAGCGCAAAAATGCGAAAAGTTTGGGAATTGGGTCGAAAAGGGCAAATTTTGGAGGCAAAAATGACAAATTCCAAGCGGGAAATGCTGAAAATGAGGAAATATGTAAAGGAAAATATTTATGATTGGGAGCAAAACGAAAAAATTGAGAAAAAACGGCTGAAAAAGGTCTTCGCGCCGAAAAATTCGAAAAAGTCCAATAGAGCGAATTTGCAGACCGCCAAACCGCCTCCAACCGATCCTTCGACGTCGGGACCAATTAATTATTCTGTGATTATCGATTTTCTCGTGTTTATACTCATTATTGAGGCGAAATTCAGAAATTCAGAAATTCAGAAATTCAGAAATTCAGAAATTCAGAAATTCAGAAATTCAGAAATTCAGAAATTCAGAAATTCAGAAATTCAGAAATTCAGAAATTCAGAAATTCAGAAATTAAAAAGTCAAAATACTTGAAAATCAAAAAAGAAACCTACCGTAATCCCCTGACAACTGGAATTCCCAACACATTCCGGTTTCCGGGTCCCATCCAACCAAGCCGCTTCAAAAGTGGCCATGTTTGCCATCCAAGACCCTCGGCTCGTGCTGGAATAACAAATCAATGATATTGATTTTTCTGAAAATACAGATTTTTTTTCACTTACTGATAAGATAGTCATATTCCTCCTGAGTTTCAACCCCACTTATATGAGAATCAGAATTTTTAGATGAGCAATTGCCAACTGCTTGAGCATGAGTGATTTCAGCGTTTTTCCCGCTAGGATAAAGCTGAAACGTGAATTTTGGGCATGAAATTGTCAGGAGCTTCAAAATGAGCCAAGACACGACCAGGCTCCGCCCACGTTGGGTCCCACAAATTTGATAATTTTGAAGCTAATGATTTGCGGCTACGCGGTCGGTGCTGGCTGTTTTTCCTTGTTTGGCCCATAACCTGGCCGATTATGGTCCAAATTTAGTTTTTTATTTTTCAATCAATAGATTTTTTATGTCAAGAGCCTCAATAATGAGTATAAACACGACTAGGCTCCGCCCATTTTGTGTCCGGCCGCGAAAACTACAGTAATCCTGAAATGCGAGCGAAATAGGTCGTGTTTAGGCTCATTTTGGAGCTCTCAACATGTCAAACTCATTTATTTAATTTTCAACGCCTACCGTAAAACACCAAGGTCCCTTGGGCCTTACAGACAATTTCCAACCAGACGCAGGGCACATTGTAACTCCTGTAGACTCGAAAATCCAATTTTCAGAAACTTCGTCATATTTGAAATCCCATCCATTATACGTTGACCGTCTCAGAGTCTCATTATACCCCATAAGGTATCCCTGAAAATTTTGAAATCTCTAGCTGCCGCGCCTTCGGCGCGTTACCCCTCCAGATGCAGTATCATTAAAGGCGCATGTGGTTGAATTGGTTTTAAAACCAATTTTATATAAAAAATCGAATCCTCGTTTTACCGAATTCAAATTTCCAATCTCAAAATATTGACAAATAGTGTCTGATCCATTATTGTAGATCGCCTGGAAGAGATTACTGTAGCTTCAAAGATTACTGTACTTTTGCCTACCATACACATTGGTTCCTGATTACAGTAATCCAAACAATCCGCCCAATTTAAATTCAGCGTATTGTAGATACCGTAACCCTGTGGGGAGCCATTTGTTGCTATCATATAAGTGCCATAAGTGAAATTTGGAAAAACGAAGAGAAAAAAGAGGAAACAATAGGAAGTCATGAGGTTAGAATGAAGTTTTTCGCTAGATTCGGATTGCTCATCAAATATCAAATTTTCGGGAAAAAAAAAGAAGAGAATAATGTTTTTTTGCGCATTCGGACTTTTTTTTGTGTTTGAAGCCTACAATGTATGTACCTTGAACTTTTTCGGAAAATGTGAATTCATACCCAGTTACATCTTTCTAAACCCTCGAACCTCCCTCAGAGTTTAGGTTTTTTTTTTCTGAAAATGGAATTCGCAAGTTTGCGAGATCAAGAGCTTCAAAATGAGCCCAAACACGGCTAGGCTCCGCCTACTTTAGGTTACTGTACTTTTCGTGGCGAGACCCTCAAAGTGGGCGGAGCCTAGTCGCGTTTATACTCGTTTTGAAGCTCTTAATGTCCTGAATTCCGAAATGCCATTAATGGCCAAAATTTTAGCTTTAGAGTTCTCATTTTCCGAAAATGTTCAAGGTACACACTCCATTGAAACACAAAAAAGTCCCCAAATGCGCAAAAAACATTTCGTTTTTGTTTCTTTTTTGTTTTTCCCGAAAATTTCGTATCTGATGATGTGCGGATCGGTGGATAATTCTATGTGTGAGTGTGTCCGTTGTTCCCGGGTCGCCGACCCTAGCGCAGTCACCGTTGGTCCAAAATTTCCGAAATTTTCACAGATAACCCGAAATAGCAGATAATGTCCGACTTTATTATTTTTTGAAATTTTGTTTCTGACGTCTTCTGAAGTCGTTAATCTATTTCTACAGCTGAAGCCAGTAGGTTGAGCCCCCGACAGGGGGGCGTAAACCGACTGGTTTTATTCTTAAATAAGAATTTGCATGCAGTAAACTTTTATTATTCAAACTTTGAAGTACATTTAATCTTGATATGGGAACCAATGACCGATTCCTCTGAAAATACAATATTTCAAAAAAAAAATCCACTCTTACCTCTCAGAAATCAATCTGATTAGAATAGTGTCCTCCATCGAATAGTTGTAATCCAAAGTGAACTCAAAGAAAGTCGGTTCTGCCAATAAGAAGTTCGGAACTTTGAACGAATTCATCTGAAAATTGATTTTTTTTTTAATTTTCAACTGCTCAACGAAATTTACAATGGGCCCGGCGTCGTATCTCAATTCGTCTCTCGTTTTCTCAACACTTCCAGAAGCTCCCAATTCCTTATTGCGAAAACTGAATTTCAGACTTTGAAATGAATTCGCAGTGCCTGAAATGCCAACCATCCGAATCTTTAGGGGCCCACAATCAAGTACCTGTACTCTGAACAGCAATTGATAGGTGAACCGTAAAAGTGTCTGGAAGTAAGATTGTTGGCAAAACCATGATACCAGTTCCAGAGACTTTGAGGCTTAAAGAGTAGACTATGAATGGAGCGAGTACGTTTGGCGCTGTCTGAGAGGCCTGAAAAGTTTGGATGTCCATAATAAACAATTGAATTTGATAAAACCACTTACGGTTACTATATGATGTGAAAACGCACAAAAGCCATTTGTCTTGGCAGCCAAGTCGTACATAGTTTCTGGATGAAGACCACCAGAGAACGTGCCCTGTGCGGCTATAATCACCGTAATTTGATTTTCTCTCAACTTCTCCACAATTCTCGAAATATCAACTTCATTTGGACTCCGTTTCATTGCAACCAAAACCATGGACCCACAGATCAATGGATGATTGGAGTCTACGAATCTCTGAAATTAATAGCAATTTTTAGTTAGTGTTTCAAGAATTTCCTTACTTCCAATACATCCAATATATCACTTCCTGTTTCCGAACTGTCAAACGTTTGTGGTGGATTCTTTTCTTGATCCACCATATACAAATAACCAGTCCTAAATGCTTCATTTTTACCTTTAAAACTGTAACTTTCTAAATTACATTCTACTATTAAAATACGTATCGCTCTCATGGAACACAATTTCCTCTTTTGTTTTCGTGTCAAATCGAACTGTAGCCGTTATTGCGAACTTGGTTGCCGCACCATTGTCGATTTTGCTGTGCTGTATATATATTTCAGTAAAAGCCCATTTGTCCAAATCTGCTGAATGTGCGAAGAAGAATGCTGCCGGGTCCGTTTGTGAGCATTTATCTAAAAGTGCGTGTTAAAATCTGTACTTGACATAGACAACTCGGCTGTCGGCTTGCAACTTCTGGACGGAAGTTGAGGGGGGTTCGGCTTTTGGTCGGATCTTGGTCAGATTTTGGTCAGAAGCTGCCTACTGGCAGCAGTGGGACGGACAATGGTCGGATTTTGGCCGGAATTTGAAGGCGTTGCGTGTTAAAGGTGGGGGGACAGGAGATTTTTCGTAGTTTTTTTTTAGCTAGAGCATGCATTCTACCGTGACGGTGTACAACGCTTAATGTCACTCTGCGTACAGCTGTCGTCCTCGCCTTTATGTATGCAATCGGGTGTGCGCTTTCTCTTTACCCGCGTGGCTCAGTCGGTAGCGGCGCCGCACCCTCAATCATCGCTCTCACAAGTTCAACTCCTCGAGGGGCATCTTTGAACGGAATTTCGAGAACATTATTTTTTTCATGTCCCCCCCCACATTTAAGAGGTCGGAAGCTGGCCGGTAGTTTGTCGGATCTTGGTCGGCTTCCCACAATGTCTTTGCCGTCTGACCAAGATCCGGCCAGAAGTAACCGGCGACGCCTGAGAATGCTTCTTTTACTCACTTTTCAGAACACAAACTGCTTTCAGCTCCTTATACTGCTCCTTACCATTTCCAGTATCCACTTGCCATGCCTGCTGGTATGGATCACAGAATCCATCCAGAGAATAGTCACCAATCTGAAACCCCAAAAAATCAATTTTAAAGGGGGGAATCCGACCAAAATTTTTATTTTTATTAAAATGTTTCAAAAGTTATCTATTTTTCAAATATTATTGCGAAAAAATTCGAAAGGAATCTAGGCCACGGCGCCTGATAGCATTATTTCAAGTGGCCGACAGTGTTTTTAATGTTTTTTACCTGTCGGAGATAAAAGCGAAAAAAATCCGGAAAAATTGTCCGGTAAGAAAGTCGCGCCGCTCGCGTGGCCTAGGTTTCTCACTGAAAACCCTCGTCCCTCGGCGGCACCTTTTTTTTGAATTTTTTTCCTTTTCGATGGCGTTTTTTCGGGGATTTCGGAATTTTCAAAAAATTTTTCGCAATAATATTAGGAAAATAGATACATTTTAACACATTTTAATGCAAAAAAAATTTGACCGAAGTCCCCCTTTAAAATTCCAAAATTTCCCTAACCTTTGCCCCTTTACCATTATCAAAGATATACAAATCTGCCCCATCTCCACAATAAGCTTGTACAAAACAATCATCAACTAATATTTCTGGAGACTTGATCGTACTAAAAAGGACTGAATTATACAGGAGATACGGTTCGCCATGGTTTTCGGCAATATTCCAGATATCCAGTTTGAGAGTTTTGCAAACGCAAGCCGCTGAAAAAGACTATCTAACATTAGTATATGTTCTAGCAGAGAACTCACGTGGCTCAGAATACCGAATCACTAGGCAGGAGTCGGAAAATGTCAGAATAGCAGCTAGCGAAAATAGAATACAATACAGATTCATAGCAGCTGTGTTGGAAAATATGAACATTTGGAGTCCTTTTTATATGGTTCCGTTAATGATATTCTATTATGAGGGTGTTGGAAAAATTGAATATTCAATTTGGACAAAATTAATTTTTTGCAAGAGATCAAAGCACATTACAGGATCTTATTCAAAAAAATATCAAAATGGGGAATCTATCGGAAAAAATCGGGAATCATCTGTCAGGAATCTTCAGGATGTTTTGTCTAAAGTTTTCAACTTCCCTAGAGTAACCCTAAAATTCAAAAACGAACATTCTAACTTCTAACCGCATATTTGGAAAATTCCGATTTCTCGGTCTTAAAATTTAGTAGCTGAAATCTGGGTTTCTTGTTTCACAACTTCCGGGGTTTGAATACCCCCAAAAATCCACAGTAACCTTTGCAGTCTTCCCAGTTTTCTATTTTAAATAGGTTTCTACAGAATAAATACTTTTTCAGAATGATTCTAAAATGTTAAATTTATCCCAATTCTTCAAAAAAACGGGCGGAGTCAAAATACCCATTAGAATTTCACCGGTCACCAATGATAAAAAATGTGAAAAACACAGTCATACAAAGGGTTACGGTAGATGAAAGTGAGTTTTGGGATGCCGTCAACTTTGAGTTCGATTTTCTCTCTGCCTGAGAAAGATATTTTTAAAAAGTCAACTGATAAAATGTTCATGGGAACATCAAAAATGTTTTACCAGTTTATAACTTTTTGATATCTCTTACAGTAACCGAGATAAATTTGCTTAAAGTTAAGGAGGGGGGGGGGGGGGTCATTGTATGCATCAGAGCGCTTACGGTACTAAACACATTAGTCATAAACACATGTCAATTAAAGTAACAAACTCGGGGGTACAAGGATTCGGGGTAGAGGGGGTACTAAATAATTTCGAAATTCTGTCTTTAAACGGTTCGCAGATTCGTTTAGATACACAATTCAACTCAGTGGTACGGAAAATAAAAGTTACCCTGACATTTTGTATCCCGAATCACTAATTTTGTACCCCTAAATCAGTTGTATCCCGTTGTACCCCTTGAGTCGATGTACCGTCGAATTTTGGCCTTCAGTTAGATCATCAATTACTTTTCAGACCAATGCCATTTTTCTTTTTTCAAAAAAGAAAGAGAAGCGAAGCGACGATAGTTTCCCATTGAAGCGGGCGTCGCTATCATCAAATGTCACAATTAATTTTTCTGAATCCAACTTTTTCAGATTCCAACGATTCTTCTTCTTCCTCTATTTCTATAATGTTCCCCTAAACTTCCCATTATCCCCATACCAAAATGTCTTGTTCTTCTTTCTATTCATTGATTGTGAACCTAAAAATGTCTGATACACATGTTTTTGGGGTTTAACCAATTTTTAGATCCAACGAATTATTTTTCCCAATGCAGTAAACATTTATTAACACATTAAAGTACTTAAACATCTTGATATGGCAACCAATGATCGATGGGTCTGAAAACAAAGTGTTTCAGACTACAACTATTCTGAATGTCTTACCTTTTAGAATACATTCGGATCAGAATGATGTCTTCCATCGAATAACTGTAGTCTAATGTTAGATCATACGTAGCACATTTTCAAATAATGTTTTGTAGCCTAGAATTCACATTTTTGGTTTTCTAGGCCACCAACTTCAAACGCCCATATCTCGCCTGCCAGTGGCCCTAGAAGCTTGAAATTAAAAAAAAAATTAAATATCGATTTTTTAGACGCCAACGGCACTTTGGAATTTTGACCTACACCGTCAACGACCGGTTCAAAAAGATGATGATCATTCTTGTGATCATTTTAGTGTTGCTCGCTGCAATCGTAATTACGCTTCTGGTCGTTCTGCTACACCACAGAGGTTCAGAGGGTATGTAGAATAAAAAAAAAGAAAAAAAATCAATAGTTAATATTGTCAGATACATCCACTACTACTAAAATTGCCCTTAATTCTATTCCCACTACTAAAATTCCTGTTACTACCCAAAATTCAAATCCCAACTCTAAAGGAACAACTGCGAACCCAGAAAAGACTACTGTAACTAGTGAACCCGCTGTTAAGACCCCTTATCCGGCTCCTCCTACTGATCCAGTTGAAACTACAGCGCCCCCGGCTCCTGGTGAGTTTTTAAAAAACCCAAATTTCAGGAAATTCAGGTATTTGAACGGAAGCTCCGCCTATTTTATCTAATTTTTTGAATCTAGACACACCTATACCCAAAATAGCTTCTTTCTAGGTGCCCTGGTATCCGAGATACGACTATTCGAGATGGTGGCCGAGGTTTTGGAGTTTTTGGGATTTCTAGGCGACCAATATGTGTTGTTTTGAAACTTTCAAAATTCTCATGTTCGATATTACCTACCCTCCAAATTTTAAGCTTCTAGCGCCTTTAGAAGCCGAGTTATACAGAAGGCCGAGTTTTTGGATTTCTAGGCCATCAGAGACAACGTTCTATAACTCGACTCCTATTGGTCCTATTGGAATGAAACTTTACCCATAGACTGACAAAGTTTAGTCACACACTTTCAAATATTTTTCGTGACACAGATTTCCTAAATTTGGGTTTCTAAGTCACTTTTTTTCAAGAATTTTTTTCTGCAAATTCTTTAATTATTGTGTTCTCCCATTTTAATACGATAAGAAGTTACTTCTCGGGCAAGAAGGGAAGAACATATAATCAGCCTAACATTCCATCGGAAAAAACGAATTGTGTCTTCCGATAAGGTAGCAATGACCAAAGATGGAGAACTGGTCGTAAAATGAACATGAAGAAAATTTTTTTGAACTTGAAATTCGTCGCAAGGGGGTTGTAAAATAATAAAAATGCCGAGAAAACTGGGGGGAGAAAACATTTTGGCACAATTTTGAATAAGGTGGGAGAGCGACCGCGTAGTTGAGCTGGTTGCTCATCTTTAGGCTCTATTTTCTCAGTTCCTGGAAAAGATATAAAAAATTTGTCAACTGCAAAAATTTTACTGATATTATGAAAAATATTTGTTTAGTTTTCAAAATTTTTATATCTCTCATAGCAACCGAGATAATTGAGCTCAAAGTTTTTAGCCGCGTTTCTACAGGCACGTCTAAGCGGTCGCGGCACAGCTAGCTGGCGCGACGCTTAACTTTTAGCTCAAATATCTCGGTTCATATAACAGATAACACAATTTTGGAAACTACAAAAATGATGACGATATATGATAAACATTTTATTAGTCCTATAGAAACCGAGATAATTAAGCTCAAAAGCTACCGCATGGCGGTGACGGTAGCAGCGCGCCGCTCAACTTTGAGCTCAATTATCTCAGCTCCTATTAGAGATATCAAAAAGTGATGAACTACAAAAATATTGGAGATATTATGCTAAGCATTTTATTGATTGACAAAATTTTGATAGCTCAAATGAGAACCAACATAATTGAGCTCAAAGTTGGTTGCCGCGCCGATACCGGAGACAACCACAGCAAGCGGCGCTCAACTTTAAGCTTAAATATCTCAGTGCCTGTAAGAAATATAAAAAATTGTAAACAACAAAAATGTTGGACGTTTTATGGCAAATATTTTACAAGTTAACAATTTTTTATCGCTCCAATAGAAACCGAGATAATAGAGCTCGAAGTTGATAGCCTCGTAGCTACTGGGACAGCTCAGCGGTCGCGCTTAACTTTGAGCTAACTTATCTCAATTCCTATCATAGATGTCAAGAAGTGGAAGCCATAACATTCTAAGTATTTTTTTCAGACATTCCTCGATGTGCTCCATCACCACCTCCTAATCCTCCTTATCTATTTGCCTATTCTAACGACTTGTCTCCAAATGTTGTTTCACTAACAGCAGACACATTTTTTGATGCACTGGATAAAGACGGTTCCTCCTATGCGACCGTTCGGTTTGATACATCGCCTGAAGATCCGGTTTATTTTGCACCAGATACCAGGTAATCTACCGTATGCCTACACTCAATTATAAGATAAGTTACTGGATGCCTATAATTAACTCAAGCAACAAAAAAAATTTTCCGGATGTTTCGAATTTTTCTTGTAACTTTTCAAATGTTTAACTTTAATACTCGAAATGCACACCATCTTGTTTTAAACATTGCGATTGCTCACAATTATACACGATTGCTCACAATTATTCTCTTTTAGCTCGGTACACTCCATCGTGAACGGACGTCTTCCCAACCCTGCCCTTAGCTTTAAAACCACTGCAATTGGAAGTGACATAATCAAAACAATCGAGGTATTAAAAATTAACAAATAGTAACAAACGCTCTAATGTACTCAGAGATATTACACTTCCGCTGTGCAACACGGCTTTTCGACTTGTGGCGCCATAATTGTGATTCTATTAAAACGACTGCCAACAGAAACTGACATCTCTGATATCGTAGCCAAGATTCGAGCTAATTCTGGTTTAGTGTTAGTGCTCACCTCTACCAGTCCATCAGGAGGTGATCAGCCAAAGACTGCGTATAGGATAGCGTCCAAAACCAATGGCATGGGTATATTTGTGGATGATGCAAAGTTACGTCAGGTGAGTTGTTTTTTAGTTGAGCCGATTGTTTAATTTTGAGCTCAGTTACCTTGGCTGATGTTAGAGATAATTAAACTCAAAGCGTACAAGTATGGCTAGGTGCATAGCGACCAACGAGCCGACCGATCCAGGCGCAACTAAGCTTAACTGTCGCGGTTCCTTTGAGCGACATCGAAAAGTGGTAAACTACAAACATTTTTGTCATAAAATCACCAACAATTTATTAGTAGACGAAATTTTGATAGCATTTATAGGAACCGAGATAGTTAAGCTCCAAATATTGCAGTGTGACTGAGCCGGTAGCTGAGAGGGCTGCAATTTTGAGCTGCTCAATTATCTCGGTTTTTTAAAGGTGGGGGGACATGAAAAAATAATGTTCTCGAAATTCCGTTCAAAGATGCCCCTCGAGGAGTTGAACTTGTGAGGGCGATGATTGAGGGTGCGGCGCCGCTACCGACTGAGCCACGCGGGCAAAGAGAAAGCGCCTGCCCAATTGCATACATAAAGGCGAGGACGACAGCTGTACGCAGAGTGACATTAAGCGTTGTACACCGTGACGGTAGAATGCATACTCTAGCTACAAAAAAACTACGAAAAATCTCCTGTCTTTAAACAGATATCTAACATCTAACGTAAGACCTATTAAAATTTTGGTTATAATATTGCAAATATTTCGGTTGTTAACAAATTTTTAATATATCTTATTGCAACCGAAATAATTGAGCTCAAATTATGAGCCTAACAAAGCATTCTTTCAAGCACATCGACCGCGCACCAATTTTCGGCGTCCGCCCGATCTACTGTGCAAACGTTCAAGTCAGCGACCTCGACTTCTACCAATTACCAAACTTCAATGTACCTAGAAATGTACCCCGACTGAACAGAGTATCCTTCACGGTCCAGGATCATGGTTTGAAATATCTAAAATTATAAAAATCCATGTAAAATTTAAATTCAGGACCAATCGACTCATTTCAAAGACTTGAGCTGAAATTCTCAGATATTACGAATGCTACACTTGTTACAAAAATTGCTGTGGAAGCAGAGGATGTTCGAAAATTGGGATCTACTGGATATTCAACTTGGTTGGGTTTTGTAGCTGGCGACGAGTATAGGACAGAGATCGATTGTGATTATACTAGCGATGATATCGAAGAGCTACAGATAAGAGTTCAGACTTATGAGTGAGTTAGCCTTGAAATTATAAAAATCAGGATTTCAGAAAAATAACGAATTTTTAGACCCTTCTGGATACCATACTGCGATTGATGTCATCAAATTGATTACTGGTCCTTTCTTTTAATTGCTCAAAAATTCTGAATAGTACACTTTATTCCTTTTTTTAAATACAAGTTTTATTTTAATAAATGATTTTAATTTTTCTTCAAACTGTCAACTTTGAGGTCATATATCTCTTTTTCTATAGAAGATATCAAAAAGTAGTAAACTGATAAACTGTTTATCATTATATCAGAAATATTTTAACAGTTAACAGATTACTGATATCTTTCACAGGAAGCGAGATTAATCGACTCAAAGTTGAGAGATCTTGTTTCAAAGCTCAAAATCCATGGTTAATGTGATAAATCGATGCCAATAAATGATCGCTTGTCTTCCGGTTTTTTGTTGGACAATTAGGTAGGATGGATGGTTGAGGAGTCTGGAATTTATTTTTTCGAAATTTAGAATAAAATTTCCGATATTTTCAATATCAACTCTGATAGAATGACTCCGCCCTCCTCCACCCCTAACTTCAAACTATAAGCTTATTTCTCTCGATTACGGGAGGAGATATCAAAAAGTGGTCTACTGATAAAATCTTGCTGATACTATGATAAAAATTTTAACAGTTGACCACTTTTTCATATCTCTCTTAAAAACTGAGATATTTGATCTCAAACTTGAGCGCCGCGCGCTGTACCGCGACTACGTGCCGGTGCGGCATGGCCATTAACTTTGAGCTCCATTTTCTCGGTTACTGTAAGAGATATCAAAGAGTAATTAACTGATAAAATGTTACTTATGTTATGATAAACATTTTATCAGTTATCACTTTCTTCAGATATCACTTACAGGTAATCAGATATAGGCGCTCAGTAGCCGCGCCGCTAGCTGTGCCGCGACTACGTGCCGATAACGGCGCGGCCATTAACTTTGAGCTCGTTGAGCGCCGCCCCGCCAAAAAAAAAACGTTGAGCGCCGCCCCGCCACCGGCTCACTATCAGTTACGTGGTAAAACATTGAGTCCAATTATCTTAGTTACTGTAAGAGGTATCAAAAATATGTCAACAAATAAAATATTACTGTTATTATGATTAACTTTTCACCAGCTGACGACTTTTTGATATCTCATACAGAAACTGAGTTATTTGAGCTCAACGTTTAGAGATGACTCATTTACGCGATCTTGAAGCGGGGGAAAACGGGGGAAAACTCACCTTCCATCTACCGTAACCCTTTGGATTACTGTACTCTTCACATTTTTCATTATCCCAGCCAACGTCAGATTCTGGTCATAACACTGCAGCTCGGCAAACTCCAATGGACTTTTTGACTCCGCCCACTTTTTGAAAAACTGGGATAAATTCAAATTTTTAGAATCACATTCTAGAAGAGTGATTCTTTTGCAATTTATGAACAAATTTGTTAAATGCCACGTGGAAACCCATTTAGAATAGGAGATTCGGATTCTGGAGACGTTAAAAGGTACTGTAGATTTTTGAGAATATTCGAATCTAGAAGTTGTTGGACAGGAAATCCAGATTTCTTCGGAGGCTCTACAGTAATCCAAAATTGATTTTATTATTTCGTCTTCAGAGTTCTTGGAACTCATTTCTAGATGCCGAATTTTCAGATTTAGGGAATTCAGGATTTCCAAAAAGCCTGTTACAAATTGGAATCTACGGTTTTTGAACTCTAGGGTTACTGTAGGTAAATTGAAAATTTCAGCCAAAAATTCGAGAAGATTCCTAGCAAAGTTCTCAAATCTGGTCCATGAATCAATTATTTTCGAGTGTTCTGGAAATTTCCAAAATCCTTGAAACGTCTTTTTCATAATTTCCATGGAATTTTCAGATTTCACCGAAAACCAGAAGAGCTCAACGAAATTCAGAGATATTTGGAATTTTTGAGAATTCGAAAAATGTTTTATGGTATTTTTTGATCTACACGAGCAGTTGGAGATGTGGAACCTGAAAAAGAGAATACTGTAAAACTATTTTAAGAGAAAAAAGAGGCACATACTTTTCTTCTAGATCCATAATTTGGAAAATTTCAGCTAGGATTACGGTTGGGAAGCGTAGAAGTGGGATTGGCATCTGAAAAAAATGTAGATCAAAAATTTTTAATGTTGAATTTATACTTATTTTAAAGCTAAGAAAATGAGAAATTCAAAAATATACTTTTCAAAAAAATAGGTTCAAAAATGTCCGAGATATGGTTATTTTAAAAGTGGGCTAATAGTTAGATTGATTTGAAGGCGCATAGGAACAAAAATGGAACAATTCCAAATAAAGCCATGTTTATACTCATTTTGAAGCTGGTAAAAAGAAGAGTTCAAGAATAAAGTGTTACATTCTACGCCTATTCTTATAAGTTGAATGTATTATTATTATTGACGTGAACTACCCTGGTTCACTAACCCTTTCTATTTTCTCCACATATTACACGTATTACACGTATGACACGTGGATTTCTTGTCTCTTGAGAACTCCTCAGTTCTCAAGATCAGTTTCTGTATTGTCCCTGAATAAAGACTTTAATTACAACCACTCTCTACCCTTCCTGTGTCTCCTATCATGTCTGGACCACGGGACACAACATAAAGTTTTCAAATAATTAAGTCATAAGGAAGATATTGTCATTTTAAGATTTAATGTTGTCGAAGAAAGGTTCTCCTAACTTTTGAGACTGTCCTAGGAAGTTTTGAGTTTTCTAGGCCATCGAAACCGTAAAAAAACGTTGAAATAAACTTGAAATTCATGGACAAGTTTGTAAAAAATAAGAATATCCAAGACAGTCAGACAAACATGAAAAGTACAATAAAGATACATATTCTGCTGTCACTATGTCAAAAATCAATACATCGAAGACTCGATGAGAGGGGCACACAGTGTTTGACAGGTGATGACGTGGCACTCACATCTGCCAAAAAGCAAAATGAGACAGAAGAAAACCTTCCCGGGAGACTTTAATATAGGCTGGACCACAGTCCTCGACCTAGGGACCACTCTAATCTGATGGAATCAGATCCAGGGCCTTTGGATCATGAAATCCGCTAATCAATGACGAAACTCTGAAAATAATTCTCAATTTACAAAATTTCAAGTATGCATGTTTGATTCTTCAATGTTTGAATACGGTTCAGTATCTTGAAAAAAAAGAATCGAGAAGAAACTTTATTTTCCGTTTTGCTGTTTCCAATTTTTGCTTGCAAAATGAAGAAAAAATGTAGTCAAGACGATAAACAGCTAGCTTTAAAATAAGTATAAATTCAACATTAAAAATTTTTGATCTACATTTTTTCAGATGCCAATCCCACTTATACGCTTCCCAACCGTAATCCTAGCGGAAAATTCCCAAATTATGGATCTAGAAGAAAAGTATGTGCCTCTTTTTTCTCTTAAAATAGTTTTACAGTATTCTCTTTTTCAGGTTCCACATCTCCAACTGCTCGTGTAGATCAAAAAATACCATAAAACATTTTTCGAATTCTCAAAAATTCCAAATATCTCTGAATTTCGTTGAGCCCTTCTGGTTTTCGGTGAAATCTGAAAATTCCATGGAAATTATGAAAAAGACGTTTCAAGGATTCTGGAAATTTACAGAACACTCGAAAATAATTGATTCATGGACCAGATTTGAGAACTTTGCTAGGAATCTTCTCGAATTTTTGGCAAATTCTCTGTCTAATTTTTAGATTCCATGACCAACTGATAAGGGAGTTCAAAGGAGTGACATGTGTAGCCATCTTTATGACATTGTGATGTCATTTTACAGACGAAAGAGCAGAAAACCACTGAAGAACATTTTTTGAAAGTATTTTTCAGATAAATAAGGATTTCAGATTGCTCAGAAACGGAATTTTCTAAGGAACACATACCGTAACTACTGTCAACTTTGAGCCCATATATCTCAGCTCCTATGAAGGATTTCAGAAAATTGTCAACTGATAAAATATTTCTAAGATTATGATAAACATTTTGTTAGTTACCGTAAAATCTGTATTGATATTGCATGCAAGTCTATTGTTCAAGTCACCTCAAGGGGTGCAACTCTATTAGAGGGGCAATTCAAATAGAGGCTGCAATTCTATTTTTCAAACTACGAAAATTTTGAAAAAAAAGTTTTATTATGAAAATCAACAAAAAAGTAACAAATTGAACACAACAAAAGGAAAATATTCAAAAAATTGAGGCGTCACTGTCATAGTTATTGTCTTCTTCCTCGGCATGGTTCATTTCTCCATCGTCTTCCTCAATTTCAATATCTCCCAAAATCTCCTGAATTTCTTCCATTTCTCGTTCTGCTCGTCTTGTCTTCAATAACTGTACGCCTTCTGGAATTTCTCCATCTTTCTTGAAACAATGAATTGCCTCATCATCTTCGCCATTTCTTCCATTTTTTAATCCGCATCCTTTGAATGATCTTACAATGTATTCCTTCGGGATATTTTCCCACGCCAATTGAATCCATTTCAAATAAACTTCCATACTGGGAGCACGCATATTTCCCGCCGGGGTGAACGATTTCGTTCCATGAACCATCCAATCTTCGTACTCTTTTCTGATGAAAGATTTAAACATTGCGTTCCAATATACATCTGGAGCCTGAAAAATCGGGTCACGCAAAGTTTCAATAAAATCTACTCACTTGTAAGAATTTTGTGCATCCTCCAGGAATCACCGCAGTGTCTAGTCTCAGTTGTTTCAATACTTTTTTAGTGTCTGTACTGATGTGGCAACGGTAAGAGTCCCATACTAACAACCTTTTTCCGAACATTGAGTGACCGAGAACTTTTTCAAGAAAAGTTTTTGTGATTTCATCGTTGAAAAATGTTCTGTCACACCAAACCAACTGCAAAGTTTTTCTAAATGTTTCCTCAATACTTTGCACTGGTCTTTTTCTTGGAAGAAGTTCAAAAGGTTTGCACTTAAAACCGTCTGATCGAGCGCACAGCATTACTGTAACATGCAATTTCTCGTGTCCCGTGGTTTTCACTGAAACCTGAAATTGAAACGTTTAGCTTGTTATTTTTGAGTGTGCTGACTTGTTTAGATCCTCGATCCGCTACAGTCAAACTATTCGAAGAATCCAGATAAACCGCCGTCTCATCACATGCGAAAATTTTGTCATAATTATTCATGGTAATTAATCGTTCCACATAAAGGAGAAAGTCAATAATTTTCTCCACATAAAACTCTGGCGGTTTTTGACAGACTGTTGTAGCACGTCTACTCGAAAATCCATGCCGCTTCAAAAAAGAAACCAGCCATCCATTCGAGAACTGCAACATTTAATGTTTAATCTCAAGTAGGTAATCTGTTTTCAAACCTTCATATCACTATTTGAAATAGACTTGGCGCGATTCTGGATTCCAATACGAGTAATACGAAGCTTTTTTTCTCTTTGCTCTCGGACCCATTCCGCAAGTTTAGTATCAAAATCTTTATCATTCACTTTACGCCCTGCGCCATCAAGCCGTTTTTTCTTTTTTCCATTTTCAGCGATTGTTGCTATTATTTTTTCTTTCTGAGCTCTCCATTGTTGCACATTTTGTCTTGAAACTCCAAATTTCTTAGCTGCTTCCGTGTTATTTTTTGATTCTGCCCATTTCACCACCGTAAGCTTGTAATCCAAGGGGTGGGCTCCACGCTTTCTCTTTCTAGAGTTTCCACCAACTTTTTCAACGTCTTCCACGTCTTCCACGTTTTCCACGTCTTCCACGTTTTCCACGTCTTCCACGTCTTCCACGTTTTCCACGTCTTCCACGTCTTCTACGTTTTCCACGTCTTCGAGGACTTCTTCAGAACTCATTGCTCGTGTTGCTCGCTTCAATAAATGGAAAATATTGTTAAAAAAACAAAGAAAAATAAAAATAAATCAGAAATTAAGTAGGTAGTTTAAAAAAAAAGAAATTCGAAAAACAACTGTGCAATTGTTCGTCACGGTGTCACAGACTAAAAATTGCACAGTACTCCCGGCGGAGCCGCAATTCTGCTGGAGATGCAATTGTATTACGGGGGCAATTCAATTAAAGGCTGCAAGTCTATTTTTCAAGTGCCCTCAAGGGGTGCAAGTCTATTAGAGGGGCAATTCAAATAGAGGCGCAATATCAATACAGATTTTACGGTAACTACTTTTTGATATCTTTAACAGTTACCGAGATAAATTAGTTTAAAGTTGAAAGTTGAAGGGCTCGATTAGAACGTACGGTACCTCCACCGCTGCTCCCTGAAAAATACGATTTCACTGAGCTATTATGCTCCACAATACCGGTTCTAGAGTTCAACTGTACATTTTTTTGATCTCGGAACTTACCTGCAGTTCCTGAAAACACCCACTTTCGTCATTCGCTGATAAAACTGTTTTATCAACTGATAAGAAATTTTGGCATAAAAGGAGGCGACAAATACTCTAATCAAAATTATTCTATACTATTCCAACCCCTTAAACACCCCTAATCAAATTTTCAGAGCTAACCTTTTCATAGTCAGCCAATCACACAAAAAACCAACCAAAACCTAATCCTAATCAATTTCAGATGTTCAAAATGTGTTTTATCGCTTTATAAATTTTCAAAATTTCAGACGACACCTCCTGTATCCCTACCGCCTTTCCAGCAACTTTCCTTTTTGCCTATTCTAACGATTTATCGTCGAAAACAGTTTTGGATACATGGAATGAAATTGCTGGCTATGAAGGTGCAACAACGGATTTTGCTAACTTTGGAAGTGTTCGATTTGATACCAAAAATGGAATGGATATGGAATTTCATTCAAATTTGAAGTAGGCGGTTTTTCCTCGCTACCGTAACTCATAGCTCCTTGAGAGCTCAATTTCATGTCCCTCGCCTTTAAGTTGAAATAGGATACACCGAAAAGTTGAAGGTCCATTTCAGAGACGCCACTAGAGCCATCAAAAACAACCTTCCGGATCCAAAGCTAGTATTTCAGAATCCAGGAGTTGGAAGTAACGTATTCGATGTTATAGAGGTAATTTTTCTCCGGCTCAATCAGTATACTGTAGCTCTTTTCTTCCAGAAATTCTTCTCCAACACTCAAGCACCAGTTTGTGGGTCCATCCTCTTTATCCTCCTGAAACGCTACCCCGACGAAGCCGATGTCTCCGGATTAGTCTCTCTAATCCGTTCTCATCATGCTATTGTTCATGTGATCACATCTGCATATCCAGCAGGAGGATACTATCCAAAAGCAATGTATTCTGTAGCTTCCAAGACCAATGGAATGGGACCTTTTGAACCGGATAGCCAATTTTGGGAGGTAAGGGGTTTTGATACCTGAAAAACTTCAAAGAATCCATTTCCTAGATGATCGGCCGCCTTCCAGTGTTCGACAATCCCTATCCAGTATATTCAAGAAGCATTCAAGTAACTGGGAGTGGAACGATGAGTCTTCCAGCGTTGTATCTTCCAAAACCAGATCAATATTGGATCTGCGTCACTTATCAGGACCATTGTGAGCCGAAAATAAAGTAGACACAACTTTTTATGTTCTCTTTCAGTACCAATCGACTCGTTGAAAAGTATCAATTTACGTTGGACCAATCCTAGTGACTCTGGATATTTTGAAGTCGATACAAATGTGGTTGATGGTAGCGAGGTGGTTCAAAAAAGTAATGCAATCAATTATCGACTTTTTTACAGGACACTGAAACCTATGCAAGTGAGTGGAACGATTTCGGTGCGTCCAATTACAACATGACCCTGGATTATGATTATTTGGGTACGGTTGTGCAGAATCTCCAGATTCGGATCTACAGTAAAACGTAAGAAGTTTTGTGAGAAATCATTTGGAAATTGAGAATTTCAGACCGCTCAACAACTGGCTACCATACATTGATTGATTTTTGCTGGATCAATTGGTTTACCATTAAACTTTTCCATTTTTTAGAGTGAATAAATAAATATTTGAGCATTAAATGAGCATTTCAATAAGGGGAGCTTTTCAGCAAATCTGCAAATTGACTGCATTCCGGGGCGAGTTCTGACAGCTTTTAACTTTAAAGGAGGCCAGACATCAAAAATTTCAAAAATTTCATTTTTACTCAAAAGATATAACTCTGAAGTATAAATATAGCTATGTACTTAAAAAAATGAAAAAAAAACACTTCAAGGACGAAAAAATGCTCTTTTTTGTCACCCTAATTTCTTCACTAGCTTGCTGCTGCGGCGTCGCTTCATAATGTGAAAAACGCGATGGTCGCCTCTTACACGCGTAGTGTAGTGGGTACGCTCTAGGCTAGTATTCAGGAGGTCAGAGGTTCAATCCCTGCTGGTGTTTTTACTTTTTTCTTCCCTTGTTTCCTTCGGATTGAACTTTTTGAACTCGGAATTTCTGAAGGGCTACCAGCGTGCCGCCGAGGCCTCGCTCCGAGGTATCAAAATCAGTTGAAAATGAAGAAACGTGTTTTATTATGTTAACAAATAAATTATGAAAAAAACTACAATTAATTTTTAGAAAGAGACATAACAATTGAAAAAAACCACATAATTAAAACAATCCTCGTGCAGGGCTGGTCGTCGGAAGGTGAAGGAAGCAGTAAAAATGGAGACGTCTCTGAAAACCCAAGTCATAAAACAGTTTTTTATTCCTAGAGTAATAACGAGAAGTAATGAGATAAATAGGAACAGTGAAGAAACGGTTATCGAAGAGAAAATAGTTTTTTTCGCATGCCTATAAAAAACACCGGCGACTGGCAAAATAATCGGTCGATAGAACTTTAAATTTACATAAAAAATTCACTTTTATATGGGTTTTATAATAAATAAGAAAAAATAGCTTTTTTAATTTTTGAAGTCGTTAAAAATTGAAAAAAATAAAAGTCGGGAAATAAAAAAATAAAAATGTTTGCGCGTGGGATTGCGTGCTTTAGGTGCGAACACCGCGACGGCAAAATACACATTCCCTGAAATTTTCCCCGAAATTTTTGCTGTCTGCCCTCCTTTAAGTTTATATATCTCATTTCTTGAAAGAGATATCAATAAGCGGTCAACTGACAAAATGTTTATCATAATATCAGTAACATTTTATTATTATATTTTATTATTATTATTTTTCGCATGTATAGAAACAGCTCGAATTGATGATTTCATGTACCATGTAGCCTTTATTTCAGTTTCACCAGATATCTGAATTTTCTGTACAAAAATTATGAATATTCCAGAAATTAGTCAAAGTTATAGAAAATGTTTATTTGATGGATCTGAAAATGATCTTGAACGAAAAAAGACTGCTATCCAATATCCAATCCGCTAGCCAACAGTCAATCCGATGTCCACAATAAGTACCACCAAAAGATGAGAAAGAATTCGGGTCGGGTATATACTTACTGTTAACGTCAGTTTAGCCTCAAAACATCCAAAATTTCAGATATCACTCTCACCCAAATAAGCGTATTGTGGAAAGTTAGTGTCGATCAAAAAATTGGTTCAAAATCGGATTTCATGAGTAATGTTTCAAAATCCACACCCAGTTGGAAATCGACTCATACCCAGTTAAAAATCATGTGAACGGAAGGTGTCCAACTGAGAATGCAAATACGGATGAATATCCACAATATCAGTCGATCATCCTCCACAATCTATTAACGTTGATTCCAAAATAAGAGTAGGCTCCTAAACCATTCAAAGATTTCAAGAGAAACCAAGTATATCTTATCTACCAACTAAAAGAGAACGTAATCCGGAAGAGAAGATGATCTATGACACTTAACGTCTTGATCCGGAACCTCGGCAGAAGGAGACAACAGAGATTCGGTATTCAAAACGACCACGTTGCAGCGACCGCGCCGCGCCACTCGGCACTGGCGCCCGCCGCCCGTCGTTTCTCAGTCTTCGCTGCGGCGAAGCGAGTGTTCGTATCTCACCAAGAGCTGACCGCTATGCGGTCCCGTTTAACCTTTTTTAGCCTTTCAGCTATTTTTCTACGTTTGGCATCGTTTTGGTTTGTTAGCACCAGTTTTAGAAGGCAGCAAGGTTTCCTCCGGTAGCTCCCAGGAGGTTTTAGCCCTACACCTTTACTTCTTTTCTGTTCTTGCTTTCTTTTCCCAATTCCGTTGTCTTTGCCGTTTATTCAAATCCCTTTCCGTTAATAAACTTGGATTTGAATACTTTGTGTACTGTTATTTCCTTCGCACCGCTTATCTTACACATTTGGGGGGAATTGGGGGTCATTTCAGGTTGCTGACACTCTCGGGTTAGGACGTAGGATCGGTCTCGACTGACTGAGGATCCGCTGTCAACAAAAGACACGTGAAATCAGAAAAAATTTGAATTGTTTCACTAGGTACAGAATCGGTTTGCCTACCGATTTTGTACCTTGTAGCACAATTCAAATAATACTTGAATTTGGCGTGACCACTTTTTCCTTTAAAAAAGTACAAAATCGGGAGACAAACCGATTCTGTACCTGTAGAAGAAAAGAAGGCACAGAGCAACAAGGAGTTTAAAGTGCAGGAAGATTGGTTGTCACCTGGATTTGATAATACTACTACTACACTGTCCAATTTCAATTTGTCCACCTATTTTTTTTCGTTCAAGATCATCTTCAGGTCCATCAAATAAACATTTTTTTATAACTTGTTGCAAAAAAAATTTTTGTATTCATAATTTTGCAAATAATTTTGAAAGCAAATAAACCAATATAACTACTCTAACTTTTTTTGCTTACTAAAATGCTTTATTTCGTATTCAATGTCGAATTAGCTGTTCATCAGGAACTTGTAGAAAGAGAATTAACAGAATCCACAGGTTTTTGGGCACTGATCCTTCATTAAAGACTGGTAGATGGAGTTGGTGCACAAGTATGCCTTTGATGCACATTCCGATACTCCAGTAGATGGGTTCACTTTATCAACACAACCTGGAACTTGGTTATTTTAATTCAAGATATTTTGGTAAACTCTAACTGGATGAAGATCCTCCATTATTGTTGTTACTGTTGTTGCTGTTGTTGCTTCCACTGCATCTGTTACAAGTCTTTGGACATTGCTCAGTCATTAAAGCGTAGTAGGTGGAATCGTTGCAAAGGTAGGCACTCTTTGGACAATCAGACACTCCGGTGGATGGGTTGACCTTATCGACGCATGCTGAAAAGTCCCAGATTTTAAAAAATTTAGGAAAAAATCTTACTGCTGGTGCTAGCGGCGGTGGTGGTGGTCGTGGTGGAAACTACGATGTCAGCATACTCGCATGTGCCCTGAAGGAATGGCTTGCTT